AGAAAGAGAGAAAGAAGAAAAGAAGGAAAGAAAGGTTAAAAAAAGAAGCCATGAAAGAGACAGGTCCATGGGGGCTACAGTCTCTTTTCTGGATGTTTTAACCCACACATCTTTAGAGAGCTTAAGAAGTTATGTACTACAGTTATGGGGCTTATAATGTGTGGACAATTATATATGTGAGCTGTCCCCATGTTTTTAGAAGTTCTTTTATAAACAAATTTGATTTAAAAAAATCTTTTCAGAGGGCCTGGGTGGCTCTGTCAGTTAAGCATCCGACTCTTGATTTCAGCTCAGGTCATGATCTCAGGGTCGTGAGATCAAGGCCCCCATCGGGCTCCGCACTGGACGTGCTCAGCCGGGAGTCTGCTTGAGATTCTCTCCCTCTGCTCCTTTTCTCCCCCACCCTCACCCCACTCACACACTCTCTCTCTCAAATAAAGAAATAAATCTTAAAAAAAAATTTTTTTTAAATCTTTTCTAACCCTCCCTCCTTCATTTCATCATTTAGCTCCGCTGCCCCTCCTTTGGTCAGCACGGTGCCTTCCACAACACTCCTACTTAGCTCCTGTGGTTCCGGTGCCCGTGCGTGCTCCCCCTATATGGCCTCCTGACGGGCTTCTCTGCCTGGAGTCTCTTTCTCATCCTCGACCCTCCTATCAAGTTCATTTTCCCAAAACACAGCTTCTTGATGTCACTTCTGCTCAAAAACTTTTGCAACTCCTCTTTGCTTTTCTGAGCAAGTTAAACTCTTTATTGAGACTTTCAATACATTCTACAAACCAAACCCAATTTACATTTTCCCTGTTTTAAAATATTGTTTCTCTATTTTGAGCTGATTTCTTTCAGTCACATGGGTCTCCTCTTATCCCCTGGCTCTCCTATTTCCCTCCTTCATCCCTCATTTCATGATGTTCTTCCTCCCTTTTCTGGGTTATTCCCAGGCTTTCTGGTCCCAAGTAAAACCTCAGCCTCCTCTTGTGAAGACAGTCACAGTTCCAAGGAATCATTCCTTCTTTGGATTTCTTTAAGGACAAGGGACTTTTCTTGGGATCATTAAAAAGAGTTCCCACTAATTGTTGGGTGCCTTTTCAAATTTTGTTTGTTTGTTTTTTCCCTTAGCTGGTGTACGTTCTGCATGATGGAAAGATTCTGGAGGTCCTCTGAAACTTATTTTTAAAGTTCTCTCAAACTCTTAATGCATAGCCTTTCTCTGAAAGGCTGAAGGATGGGTGAACACATCAAGCCATATGAGTGCCTTCATCTGTTTAAGGAAAAGGAAATTCCAAAAGTTAAGTGACATTGTTTTTACTCGTCCACCTTCAGGTGTGCAGCATTCACCAACCCAGTCCCCGCTTTGACTCCCTTGTGACACCAAAGCCCTTCTGCTTCTCAAAGTCAATGTGCCCTCACTAGACACCTTTCTCATTCGACTTAAACCCAACCTGCTGGCTGATGTGTCCTTTGGTCTGGCTAGATGGACTTCTATGTACCTTTCCCTCCGCCATGTCTGCCCTTTCCCACACTTCATTGAAAACACCTTTCTGGTTTCTTTCTAAGAGAAAGAAGAACGTGCATTCACTCAGTCACCAAATATTTTTTCCAACCTGTCAGCTAGGCACCATGCACGATGCAGGAGATAGGATGGTGAATAAGATAGGCAGGGTCCCTGCCCACCTTGCATTGACATTCTGGTGGGGGAAATAGACAAATAAAAAAATTAGCCTCAAAGTAAACACTGCAAACTGTGGAAAGGGCTTGACTTGAAACAGGGTACTGATACAGAGATGAATGGGGATGGTGGGGAGCATGCAGGAGAAGAGTGCATGCCCATTTTAGACAGAGAGTCAGGGAAGACCTCCCTAACGCAGGAGGCTGAGACCTGAAGGATAGGAGGAAAATGGATTCCAGGTTGGAGGCCACAGCTTGTCCAGAGCTTAACCAGTGTGGTGATAGCACTGTGAGGAGGGGTGAGTGGTGTATGATGATGGGAGGGAAGCAGGGCCAGATCACATAGGTCTTACAGGCTGTGAGAAGGAGGTTGGATTATAATCTCAGAACACTGGAAGTAGGGTTCCCAGATAAAATACGGAACACCCAGTTACATTTGAATTTCAGATGAATAACAAATGATTTTTGAGCTTAAGTATGTTCCAATTATTACATGTGACATGCTTATACTAAAAATGCATTCATTGTTTATTTGAAATTCAAATTCAACTTGGCACCCTGTTCTCCGTTTTTTTTTTTTTTTTGGTTTTTTTTTGCTAAGTCTGACAACCCTAATTGAGAGGCCGCTGAAAGGTTTTCAGTAGGCAAGTGAGGCAATCCAATTTGTATTTTAAGAAGATCCCTTTGGCTGTTGTTTTTTGGAGAATGGTTTGGAGGACAGCAAGAGTTAAATAAAGGCAGAAGTTCAAGGAGACTAGTTAGGTTACGTAGCATCCCAGAGAAGGGATAGTAGTGGTCTGGCCCTAGAAGACCAGTGCTTCTCAAACTTCCATGTGCACAGGAACCATCTAGAGATCTTGTTAAAAGGAAGACTTAATTCAGAAGATTTTCAGTGGGATCTGAGATACTGCATTTCTGATTAGTTTGCAGGTGGTGCTGACCTTGCTGGTTCCTAGATCAAAGGTCATCAAACTATGGCCCATTGGCCATTTTTATAAATAAAGTTTTATTGAAACACAGCCACGTCCATTTGTTTCCATTTTATCTATGGCTGTTTGCTGGTTTTGTGCTATGAGAGCAGAATTAAGTAGTTGCAACAGAGACTGTATAGCCCTCAAAATCTAAAGACATTTACTGCCCAGCCCTTCCCTAAGAAGCTCACTGACCCCTGCCCTAGACCACATTTTGCTACTGTAAAGGTCTCGATTCAGGTGATTACCGTGAAGATGGAGAGAAGTGGGCAGATTTAAGACACATTTGAGAGCACTGAATGTGGTCTACCCTGGTTCATTAAGCACTCCTCTCTGATGGGAGCCCAGGTACCCTGAACTGCATAAAGATGCATAATCTCTAAACCTAAGCTGTTGTGACAGTTGAGAACCTGGCTAATCAATATTGATTCATCTTAGAAATATTTACCCCCTGCGTTCTAAGCTCAAGGGGTTCTACTCAGCACACATTTAAGCATATATAGAAATCCACTGAAGCACACACATAAATGCAAGTGTAAAGATACTATGGAATAGCACCTGGAAGAATCATTTGTCATGTAAGCAAAAAATTGAAGCTGACTCCTGCTTGTACTTACTGCCGGTTGATTTTCTAACTCTCCCACCTGAACTTCCATGCTCTCTATTTTCTCATGGCAGGAGGGTGTCTTTGTAGTAATTCTGGGAGGGGATACTGAGGCATAGTACTATCACCCCTCCTATCACTCCATCCCTTAGTATGAAACTAGCCTTTCCCCACCCTCCTTTCTATCTCTTAAGGGAAGGGAATATCCGATGCTCACGTAAGAGGGAGATCACTTTAAAATGAAATAGAAGATGATTTTAGAAAGCAGGAGAGAAAAACCAATTTTATGTGCAACTTTTTTCTTGGCATTCATTTAGAATTCTTAGAATTCCCACTTTGACAGACCCCCCAACCCCATAATAGCCCATGGCAAGAGGCTTGTGTAATACCACACAAGGTATGGTATTTCTTTTGTGTCATACACCTGTAAGGCAATGTCCTCCAACAAAATCCCAAAATGACTTATCATTTAAAGGCCACTCCAGGGTTGTTAAAAGTTGTGAATTTCTGGAAATGGCTTTGAGTATTTTAGTTTTCTAGGATGCTGCTTTTATTTCCATTATTTTTTTAAAGTAGGCTCCACACCCAGTGTGGTGCCCAACGCGGGACTCGAACTCACAACCTCGAGATTAAGACCTGAGTGGAGATCAAAAGTCCGACGCTCAATGGAGTGAGCCCCCCAGGCACCCCAAGGATGTTATTTCATGCACTGACATAGTAACATCAAATGGTGGCCTAATGATGCATTAACATCAGCCAGTTAATTCCAATTTCTGTGGAACATAATTGACGTCTAGATCACAATGTCACATGTAGATGGCTACCAGACTTTCTAAAGAGTAGAGGGAAGGAAGCTGGTTTGTCTAGTTAGAGCCCGTGTGGCTCTGTCATGTTCCTAACATTATTATACATATTTCTGTTAAATGTGCCTGCTATTCCTTTTCCCCATCCAGACATTGCGTAACAATAACAACCACAAATATGAGAGGTTAAACTTGTGGAGGAGGCTGATCCATTTGACTCGGAAGGCTGAAGTTGTTCAAGGATAGCTGAGTCCAAGAGGACCTGGGCTGTTGCTTGCATTCACAGCAAAACTTGAATCTCAGGCCGCATTTCCACAAAGGCCAGGTGCATTAGGCAACAACTCTTCCTTCCAGTGGATGTATTTATGTCAGAATCCAAACAAATTTTCACTTAATTATTAAGCATTGGCAGGTTTGGAACGCCGAGTTGAAAGTGGAGGTGTTCGCCCCATGATCTAATGGATTACATTCTTTTGCATGGGAGAGAAAAAGGCATAAGGCTGAAAAATGTGCTCCCGAGATTTTAATCCCTTCCTTAAATTTTAGATATTTCAACAAACCTGTTTAAATGTCTTACTGCAATGCCTAGGTGCTGAGGCATAGATGAGAGACAAAAAAGAGACAAATAAAGGAAAAAAGCTTCCTTTTCTGGAGGAACTGCAAGAGGAGAAAAGGAAGAAAGCGAGCGCCAAGGGATTTTGTAATACAGGGTTGTCTGAAAGGAGATTGGAAGAAAGGTTGGAGACGAAAGATCTGGTCGGCCTCAGGTCCTGGAAGCCTTATGAAAGGAGTGTTTTATAAGGAAGAAATCATTAAAAGGATTCACACATCCATTTGCATGAATTAGCCAGCCCGGGAGAGTGTCTGAAATGCATTTCGAGAGCTGACCTGAAATGAAGGTCACTGATTTCCCCATGACATCAGTGCAGCCCGAGCGGAGTTACATTAACAAACCTTTCCAGCCAGTGTTGAAAGATCATTGCCTCCAATTATCTGCATCTCGCCCATGGACTGGTCGTTCTAAAAAAAGTGAAGATAATATTTCACTGTACAGGAAAACCTTTGCAGCACATTTTCCCCGTCTACCCAGCTCGTGGCTAGATTGCGCCTGACAAACGCGGCACAAATAGCTGGTACAGATTCCTGGTTGCCCCTGGTTACCGGGAGCCACTGGCCTGCTACTGCGCGGGAGACAAAGCATTCTGATGGCTCCAGGAGGTGCCTGAGCCTATCTTGAGGCAGATGGAATTAGGGAAGGCAGTCATACTCCCGGACCTCCCTGGGCGGATGGGGCTACGGGAGGGGCCCCCAGAAGTGGACCATGCATTTGTCTGCTAGGCCACCAAGCCCCAGTCTGCTGCCCCAGTGGGGGGCAATCAGATGGTGGTTCCCAAAGAAATTAGGGACCTCCTCTATTCCTACCAACACAGGTCCAGTCCCTCATCTGATGTTGAGGGCAATTCTAACAGTTCACACAGATCAAGAACTATTGCACTCAGACCTTCAGGGGTGAAATGAAGAAGCCTCAGGAACTTTCTGCAGGCCCAGGAATATGTTTAAGAGACTTCTCACACCAATTCCATTAGAAGTCATGAGTATTCACTTCCATGATGGTTATATATCATACATCATCCTGTCCTAATTAAACCACACACACACACACACACACACACACACACACACACACACACACACACTAAACCAAATATGGATTGTTACATAGTGCCTATCACAACAAAGTAACATGGAGGCAGAACAGGAAACAGAGAGCAGGCAACTTGTTTTCTGGCCTCACTGGGGAGACACAGCAAAGGGACTGATGCAGATACCTTACAGAGTGTGGCTTCATGACCAAGCCAGACCTTTCTAGCAATAACCTGAAGGAGAAGGTGATGGTGCAGGCACTTCGTGCAGGATGTGCTGTTGAACCAGGAAACATCTTAGGTCACCACTGTGGCTTTTTTAGCTCAGGGCTTTCCTCTCTTATTCTGGCAAAAACGCTCTGCCTCTTTCCTGGGAGCGTGGGGCGGGCGGGAGCGGGTGTGGTTCATTCCCTAAGGGTCAGGTGGAGCCAGGCCTTACCTAGGTAAACTGGCTATGCCTGAAACTACATTTGGCCTTCGACCTTCCAGCTACTGAAGCCAATTCGTTCCCTTATGAATGTTCTTGGGTTGGTTTGAATTGGATTCTGTCACTTGAAACTGAGTCTCTACCTAGGCATGGAGCTACTCTGTCATAGAACTAGTTATCTGGGAAGGTAAAAAGCAACCAAATAACCAATATAACAGTTTCACCAATGAAGCAGCTTTTGTCTTTTTACCTTACTGCTCAAGGGGGGGAATGACCTTAAAACGTTTTCACTTCCACTTGGTAAAGCATTCATTCTACAGCAATGGAGTAGAGACGATGCCCCACCAAGTAGATAAGTCCAGTAATTTTCTTCTTATGGGAACTGATTTCAAAAGGAGAAAGTCAAAGAACATTCAGAATTCACAGATCTCTTCCTGTTTTTGAACGGGCATTTATAACCATATATTCACAAGCAGTCATGCAGTAGGTTAGGAACTTGTCAAAAATGTCAAAAAGGAAGATTTTCTTATCACTTGTAGAGGTGCTGAGATATAGGAGTTAACATAGGGGGAATGTCTGCATATTAGACTCAAATGTGTTGTTAATAGCAGCAGGAGAAATAAAAATTCAATACCTCCAAAGGATGGAGGTATGCAGAATTGGATGTAACCACTAAGCCACAAAGTTCAACGTAACAAACAAGATTTACCCGCTGCCAATCAGAGTAAACTTCATAATAATTCTATCGTCATCGTCATTCTATTGATTAAAAACAAAAAACACAATATATCAGAAGGCTAAATAATGTGCTATAAGTTTCGCCTTCAGCGTGTTGCCAAGCAAGTCTTAGTTCAGAAGACCTTACTTAGAGTCCAAGTTTATAACATGTTTTTATTATTAGATTTGTCATTAACTCATCTGGAACTTCTATCTTCCAAGTGTCTGTATAGTCAATTGTCCCAATATCATTTACTGAATTGTTTGGGTTTTTTCCCCTACTGGTTGGAAATGTCATTTTTATCATATCTTTCATTCTCGTATGTGAGGGTCAGTTTCTATACTCTTCTGTTTCATTAGCCTAAATGTCCATTTTAGCATCCAAACCATACTGTTAAATTATTATAGCTTTTTAGTGTGTTTTAGCATCTGGTAGTGTAAGTCCCATTTTTGTGTTCTTTTTTAAAAATTGTCTCGTCTATTTTTGTACATTTATTTGCCTATTTGCTGGGCTGTTATGAAGATCAAATGAATTAATATATACTGATCATTTAAAACAGAGTCTGGCACATTGTAAGTACTCAGTAAATGCTGGATATGATTCATTTCCCTCCCTCCCCCTCTTACTCTTTCTCTCCCTTCCCTACTTCCTTCTTCCTTCCGCCCTTCCTTCTGCCCTTCCTTCCTTCCTTCCTGCCTTCCTAGGAAACGGTCACTCCTCAGACCTCTTTGGTACACTGCAGTCTGGAGCTCCCCTGGTTTAATGACTCCAGCAAAGAAGACTTTCATGTCTTGCTGGGTTGGAGGAGGGAACTTATAGGATCATCTTCTCCATTCATACCCTCCCCATCCCCTTGCTGCATTTAGCACATTCCTCCAACACTCCATCTTCTAAGAACCTAGTGACTAACTTGTGAGCCTTTCAGGAGTTCTGTGGCACAAATGCTGTGCTTCTCATCAACAATTCCCTCCATAGGCATTTAGAATTTCACTTTCTCTATTCGGCTGAGTCAGTGCCCTTCCTTAAACAGTTTTGCCTCCTAAAAACCACTGACATCTCTTGCCCACTGAGGTTTTCTCCCCTTCTCTTTGTCCTTGCATATATATACTTCCATTTCTTTCTTTACTGGCATTTTGGTGGGGTTTTAGAAAGGAATAGAGCTAATTGTATGCAGTCAATCCACTGTGTTTAACCATGATATTTTTCTAATGGCTCAAAAGCATCTTTATATTCCTAGGATTGGTGTATTTTTTAAAACAACATTGGTTTTTCTTTGATAATATTTTATTTGGGATTATTCATCTTACCTTCATAAGTCAGATGGGTTTATAGTTTTAAAGCACAGTATACTATCCTCGTACAATGCATCGAGTGGTTACTTATTTTTTTTCTTTGCGCTAGAAGAGTTTGTGTAGGAATGGATTGATCAGTTTTGCTAAGTAAGGTTCAGTAGAGCTCAGTATAAGTATTATTTAACTCCCAACTTACAAACCAGGAACCTGAGCAATGAGCATTTACATAACTTGCCCAAAGAGGAGTTGCTAATAAGTGAAGGGGTCTAGTTCAATCCTAGAATCGCTGGCTCCATGTTATTCTGGTGTAACCTACCCTTGCCCTTTATGACCAGTATTCCTACAAGAGAGAAACACATAATAAGTCTCTGAGAGGAATCTAGAGAAGGAGTGGGTCCTGCTTATACTAATGAAGTGAAATACATAAGCTCAAATGGCCAAGAGAAGTCGACAACTTGGTAGAAATGCTGGCAGCCGTTATGTAGATTGAAAGAGCCAAGGAAATCTCTGGTATTTAGTCCAGGCTTCCTTGGAAGAAATATTTTGGAAATTTACTAGTTTAGGTGACCTGATCTCCAGGTACCAAGGGGTACGCCCAAGCAGCCCCGCAGGTGTGACAATTCCTCCTATGGAGACTTTGGACTGCTTAGGTAATGTTTGGAAGAAAACAGTACTGAGCAAGAATAAATACCCTGAGCCCCTGTCCTTTTGAGGAACAGGAAGGGGGAAAGTAAGGAAAATAAATAAACAAAAGAACCACTCTCTAAGCCATTCGTTTTCAAAGTCAGAGCCACTTGCTGCAACATCTGTACACACAAAAGCTTTCTCAATATTTTCAGCCACCGCAGACCCCTTAACTTTGCCTGTCCTCCCTATTCGTCTTACCTTTCCTCTCAGCTATTCTGGGCTTAGTGAGGTCATTGATCCTCTATTATACGGAGATGCAAAACAAAAACCAGAAATACTTCATTATAAGGAGGTTTAATGACCAAACTGGAGAGTTTGTGATTAAAATGGTGCAAACCACTAATTATTCTTATTTTTTTAACTAATAATCTGATGCCAAGTCAGGGAACAAGGGCAGGTGAATGGGTTCCAGTATCCCTGGTTTTCTCTTCAACCAGTGGTTGATGTAGGACAGGACTCTTAACTGGATCCCTTAGTCCTTTAAGCTGCCTGAGGTCAGAGGGGAGGGCACGGTGTGGTCAGAGCCTGCACGGCTTCTGGGCCCCTTGCTTCAAGCAGAACAATTCCACTTGTCTCTCTTACATCGATTGGATTCAAAGTGAGGGGGTGCAAGCAAAAAAAAGTTTGAAAACCATCCTGTTAGTGTTTTCTCCTTTGAAATTGACTGACTTTTTGGTTTCCTGTTCATTTCAATACCCATCTGCTTCTGAGATCGTTTGTTTAGGAACTCATTCTTACAACCAATGGGGCGGTGGGGGGGCGAAGGGTATGCTGTGGAAAGAAGAATGTGGAGATTAAGTGACCAGGTGGCTGGGCTCTCCAGGTCCCCTCAAGGACCAGACTGCCTGGGTTCCACTCACAGCCCCACCTTCTATGAGTTGTATGACCTTGAGGAAGTTACTTAACCGCTCAGTGCCTCAGTTTCCCTATTTATAAAAAGGGTATATTAATCATTCCTACCTCTTAAGATTATTGGAGGACTAAAGGAATTCATGTGCATTCAGCACTCAGAAAAGTGCCTGGCATGTAACAATTAGCAGTACGTAAAGTAGGCCCTATATTCTTCTAAAAAACTTGCAAATCTTCCTGGTGTCCTAACGTTTGACTTTGTGATGTATTCTTTGTTCAGTTCACTCAGCGTATTACTGCTCCGCGGGCGACATGCGCTCCGTGGTTAGAGTTTCCCGAGGCTAACTGCTACCCATGACGCATGTGGGTAAGGAGGACTCATGTCCTTGCACTGCTACTTTGTA